TCAGAAGCACCCTGACCCAAGCACAGCTTGGCCTCTACCACCGACTACGTACGTATATGTATGGGTGTGTGTGTGCGTGCACATGTGTTAGAGTGGAAGCCCCCATCACTCCTCTGAACCAGAATTTCAATCACCATCACTGGACAAAAGCAACAAACTCTGGGGACACTTGTGTTACTTGGATCGGCACCTTGGGGTAGATCTCTAAAACCACATTCATGCATTACTTGCGTATTCGTCCTGAACACTTACGTTGTGCCAGGTGTTGGGTCACATACTGGGGAAGGGAATAGAAGGGACCCTCTCCTTGCCCTCAAGGCACCCAGTGCAATCCTGCCTTAACCTTGGCTGCACATCTGTAGCACAAAGAGAAGAAGAGATACCAGGCTGCACTGCAGACTTCCCAAATCAAAATCTCTTAAAGTGGAACTCAGACACGTGCCTTTTTTAAAACCTCCACAGGTGAATTCTGATTCACAGGCAGGGTTGTAAGCTACTGATCTCTTGATCAGTGCTACCCAGAATTTTCTGCAATGATGAAATGTTCCATATCTGTGGTGTATGTCTGGCTATTGAGCACTTGAGATATGGCTAGTGACTGAGGAATTGAATTTTTAATCTTACTTCATTAACTTAAATTTTTTTATTTTTATTTTTTTTAAAGATTTTATTATTTATTTGACAGAGAGACAGCGAGAGAGGGAACACAAGCAGGGGGAGTGGGAGAGGGAGAAGCAGGCTTCCCGCTGAGCAGAGAGCCCAATGAGGGGCTTGATCCCAGGACCTTGGGATCATGACCCGAGCCGAGGGCAGACGCCCAACGACTGAGCCATCCAGGCGCCCTAAATTAAATTTTTTTTAAGATTTTATTTATTTATCTGAGAGAGAGAGAAAGCGAAAGCAGAAGGGAGGGAGGGGCAGATGGAGAAGAAGACTCCCCACTAAGCAGGGAGTCCAACGTGGGGCTCGATCCCAGGGACCCTGAAATCATGACCTGAGCGGAAGTCAGAAGCTTAACCAAATGAGCCACCCAGGTGCCCTATTAACTTAAACAGTCACACATGGCTAGGGGCTACTATATCAGACCACAAAACTCTAGACGATCCCAAAACACTTCAATTTGGCTTTAAAATACTTCTCACAATATGGTTTTGTAGCAGTTCAAGTTTCCATTCCCTTTAGCTCAATAGAAAACAATGAGCTTCCCCTCCCTACAGACACTCTCATTTGCACTGAAAAAAACTGCTCTAGAATGAATTGGGGGGTGTAGCAGCCAGTCAGGTGGATTAAGCCCTATCAGGTAGCTAAGCCACACCACCACTCTACCCGCCAGACTGGAGGAAAGGCACTCCTGAGTACCCTCTTTTGCTAGAGGCTGACATTGGTGGGGAACAGGAAAAACAGTGACACGACTTGAGATGCCTGTTATGAGCCAAATTGTCTCCCAACTCCCCAAATTCATATTAAAACCCTAACCCCCAACGTGACTTTATTTGGAGACAGGGCCTTTAAAGAAGTAACTACAGGGCGCCCGGGTGGTTCAGTCGGTTAAGTGTCTGCCTTAGGCCTAGGTCATGATCCCAGGGTCCTGGGATTGAATCCTGCATCAGGCTCCCTGCTCAGCGGGGATCCTGCTTCTCCCTCTCCCTCTGCAGCTCCCCCTGCTTGTGCTCTCTCTCACACATACACTCTCTCTCATATACACTCTCTCTCAAATAGATGAATAAAAAATCTTTAAAAAAATAAAATAAAGAGGTATCTGAGGTTAAATGAGGTCTTAAGGGTGGAACCCTAATTCAATGACTGGTGTCCTTGTAAGAAAAGAAATAGCAGGGAGACACAGAGAAAAGGCCATGGCAGGACACAGTGAGAAGGCAGCTGTCTACAAGCCAAGGAGAGAGGCCTCAGGAGGAACCAAACCTGCCGACATCTACCTCTTGGACTCCCAGATTCGAGAATGCTGAGAAAATAAACGTGTTGTTTAAGCTACCCCGTGTGTGGTATTTTTGTTATGGCAGCCCTGGCAGACTACTAGAGTGCCCTTAGAAAAAGGCAGGCCCGGACCCTAATCAGCCTCTTGCAGGACAAGATGTACCCCAAGAATTGAGGATGACAGCTCTACTAGAAGCCAGATCCAGCAGTGACTCTGCTGGCACCTAAGTCTTCCAGCCACCATCCTGGTCACTACTGTTCTAGTGCCGCTGTGCACCGCCCGACCCTCCCCAGCTCGAGTCTCGCCCCCAATTCTAGGCTTTCACCTAGACTGTGCTGTCCCACCAGGACACCTTCCCTATAATCACCTCCCCGTTCCCTTCTTGACCCCATTGCACCTACCCTGCCTCCTATAGGGCCTTCCCCTTCAGCCCCATCTGTTGGGTGTTTTAAGTGTGTGTGTTCTGTGCCTCTCACTTTCCCCACTGGACTTCAAATGCTCAAAGATTAGTCTGGCATTCAAGATCCTTCACAAGATGGCTCCAACTTACCTCTCTAGCTTTTCCTCCCAAGCGGGCAAAGTCAGTGCTCATCCACTTGCCACCCCTTGAACATAATGATGTTCTCCAGAACTCCCAGTCTCTAAGGCCACCTGAAATGCCACCTCCCCGGAGAGCCTTCTCTACCTCGGCTAAATGCAGAGGGGCACGGTGACTTCCCTCTCTGTGCACTTATCCCAGTGTCTCATCTAGGGCCCTGCAACATGGAGGAAAGGAGTCTAAGGTGTGTGTGTGGCGGGGCAGGGCGGGGGGTGGTGTGTGTGTGCAAAGTTGCAATGCCATTCCAATGCTAACTCCCCAGAGCCAGCACACTCTCCATGGGTTTAAGGGCACCATCCCCAACAAGACCGCCCTCGCTTCAGATGCCAGCTCCAAGTTCAGGGGTCCCCAGGCCACCTATACTTCTAACTGGCTACAAATTCAGGGGTTCCCATGACCCCCTCAGATTCGATAATTCACTAGAATGACTGACAGAACTCAGGAAAGCACTTCCTTAGAACCACAGTTTTATTATACAGGATACAAATCAGGCCCAGCCAAACAGAGATACAAGAGGCAAGGTCCGAGAGGGTTTCCAAACCCAGCGCTAGGTACTTTCCCCGCAGAAACGGGACACAGCGCCTGGCTGTTGCACCCATGCATTCACCACCCAGGAGGCTCGCCAAAGTCTGTGTCCAGAGTTCTCATTAGGGTTTCATTACATAGGTATTATCGATTGAAATCACTGACCACATGGTTGAATTCAATCTCCAGCCCCCACCACTACCCTCAGTTCAGGCTGGTTATCACCTGGCTCATAGCCCCAACCCTCTAATCAAATGGTAGGCCTTTCTGGCATAGTCCTGGTCCAGAGTCAATTTCAGCATAAACTCGGGTGTGTGGTCTGAGGGGCCCTCCGTGAATAACAAAGCCACTCCTATCACTTGGGAAATTCCAAGGATTTAGACACTTCCCTCCCAAGAACCAATGACAAAAGCCAGCCAAATTCTTTATTATACAAATGGGGGGCACTTACACTAAAAAAACTTTTTTTTTAAAGTTTATCTTACATATGTTTTTTAGTAATCTCTACACCCAACATGGGGCTCCAACTCGCAACCCTGATATCAAGTCTCACGCTCCTCTAAGCCAGCGAGGCTCCCCTATACTAAAAATCTTATTAATTTTGAAAGATGGAGATGACCTGTCCCAGGAGACAGAATCCAACCACGTGTTCCTCATTAAGATGGTCTCAAGACTCACTCTATTCCCAACTTGATTCACTTTCCCAGCCCTATTAAAGGGGCACACCAACCAGTCATCCAGCAGACACAAGAAATGAGCTAGGTGGAGATAGCGTGCTCCCATCCACCCATCCGCTGCTCCCCACAGGGCCCTGAGCAGCAGACAAACCCCTGACTGAGACCCTTAAGCTATGGTAAGACAATTAGAGGTCTGTTTACATCATCTCCCCAGATACCCAGGAGAACCCTTTGCAACAGTGAAGAGGTAAGAGAAGGGAAAAATCTAAACTACTCCTTCCATCTCTGACATGCAGGAGGGAAAAAAGGACCCACACAAAAGGGTTTAGGAGCTTTTTTTTTTCCTTTTAAAGATTTTATTTATTTATTTGACAGGGCATGAGTGGGGGGAGGGGCAGAGGGAAACGGAGAGGGAGCAGCAGACTCCCCGCTGAGTGGGGAACCCGAGAGATCATGACCTGCGCCAAAGGCAGGCGCTTAAGCGACTGAGCCACCTATACACCCCAGTTTAGGAGTTTTTAATGCTTGGACTGAAAAATCACAGGGCTGCATTTTTCATAAAATTATTGGTCCACCTCTGGCAGGGCAAGGATCTGCCCCTCACTCAGCAAGGTCCTGGGAGTGGTGGCACTCCCTCTGTAGTGTGGTACCGTGATGCCCCAATCAAGACGCAAAAAAGCAAGAAGTATAAGGAGCACCCACCTGCCAGGCACGACACAAGGCACTTTCAAGTGTTATCTCACTTAATCCCCACACCAACCCCATGAGGTAGGGATCCCCGTTTTACAGATGAGGATCCTGAGGCTTGGAGAGGTTCATCAAATTTGTCCAAAGTCATAATGTTCACAAAGCCATGAAGTCTCAAGCGGAGATGAAGAAAGCCAGGTCTTCTGGTCTTCCCCACTCTGCCACACTGAATTCTTTCTCTGATCCAGCCTCAGTCACCCATAAGAAGTTCACTCTTAACATCCACATCCCTCGCTTTGTCCTGGTCCCTGTGAGGAAAAGGCTCAGCTTGAAGGAAGCTGTTCTAGGAGGATGGCTGGGGATCCTGGCAGGATCTTTCCTCTAACAGAGCAAATACAGCCCCAGAAGTCACAGTCCGGGCCCCTCTCAGCTGAGCAGAGGCTCCGGCGCCAACAGTGAGGTGGCGCAGTTTGCAGACGCCACGTCTCTGTGGAGTTAGCTACCACCGGAGCAGAGGCAGTGCTCAAAGGAAGGTGAAGAAGGCAGCAAGCGGGAGTAGTGTCAGACCTGCCACGGCAGGTCCCAGCAACCAGGGAGCCCCGAAGGACCCTGTGGCTCCAGGCCAGGGGGCGTATAGTCCTCTGCTTGCCCCGGGATGACTTGGGGGCCTTGCACATGTCCTGTGCCAGGCCACAGGGGCCCTCATTTCGTTAGCAGCGGCAGCAACCCCAGCTCATTCAGTCTCTCCTTGGCCGCTGCCTCCCAGCCCCTGTTGGCCTGTGGGCTCCGAGGGGAGGGGTGCAGGAGCCCCTCCACCTGGACCTCAGGCGTCAGGCCTGCCAGAGCCCGCCGTGCCCGCTGCTCCGCCAGGCGCCCCACTCCCACCACCAGCCGCACCCCCAGCAGCTGCACCTGCCTGCAGAGGGCCGCGTCACAGGCCTTAAGAAGCTGTTCTCGCTGCCTGGCAGGTAGCTCGGCGGGAGTGAGGTTGCGCCCACTGGGAGTCAAGAAGAGCAAAGGACACAGATTGTGGACAAAACAGTGACGGAAGAAGTCCTCGGGCTGTCCACAGAGGTTCCGGAAAAAGCCCCAGAACCGGGCACCGCTCACCTCTGACTGAGGGCACTCCAGTCCCAGCACTGGTCGCTTCGGGTGCTCTTGGGGTGGGGTCAACACAGGTCCCCCAATGCCCAACCAGTCCCGGACTACGCTCACTTCCCCAAAGGGCACCTGCCGGGAGGGAGAGAGACAGGAGGGTTTCAGTCTGGAGATCTGACACCTGGGTTCTGCACCAGCTGCACCCTCTAATACCCTCCATGAGGATCCTGCCTGGACACCCCACCACTACCCCCACCCCCTTCGCCCAAAGGCCTGAGATGAGGAATCTGGCCCTATGGTTTGATCCTACCCATCCTTCTCCAATTTTTCACTGTGGACTGTGGTGCAGAAGAATCTGTTTGCTTCTATCCCCGCTTGCCTTTGGAAGCACATAGAGAGAGCATATGGGAGTATCTGGCCCTCCACAGGATGTGATGGGTAGTATTGGGGGCAGACAGACGCTCTGAGACGGAAAGACAGCCAGGGTTAGAGGAAGCACAAAGACAGGAGGGACCAGTGCTCTCTCGGTGCCCTCTCAGCCCCGAGCCTCAGGCTGTCATTTCCATTGATCATCATTGATCACCTTTCATCCTCCAGTCGGGGTCAATAAAAGCGATTGAGCCTCCTGCCCTGAAGCCTCTTCCCCTCCCCCATCTGCCAAGCACCCCCACTGAGGGGCATTCACTCATCCCAACGTCTGAAAGGAAAGCAGGCAGGCCCCAGAGCCAGCTCTGTTTTGAGCCTCTCCTCAGCTAAGACACAGAAGCAGGTCGGCTGAAAGCCCTGCATCTCTTCCATACCCACCCGTCAGCCAGTCTCCCCTGAGGAGCCGGTATTCCTGGTCCCTCTCCCGACCCCAACCACACTCTAGGGAAAGAGGAGATCCGGCAAGGTAAGGATGGGGCGGGCGGAAGGAAGGGCTCGCAGAGGCAATTAGTGGACAAGCTCACAGGGGAAACGGAACTACCATTAATGTGCTTGGTTAACTCTGGGCTGTGAGGCCAGAAGAGTGTCTGAGACCACAGGAGCCAGCATGTGTACTGGGAGGGGATGAGGGGGCCCGTACCCACACGGGTCCACAGCCAGGCACACGCTCCTCCCCCACCGCAACACAGCCAAACATCCACCTTGGAGCCTCCCACTCCACCCACCAGGGGAAGCCAAACCCTTTACCCCAGTCTGGGCCATGCCAAAGGGCCCGGGGTTCATGCCCAGGAAGAGCACTTCCTTGGGGCCTTGGCAGTAGCGGGTCACATAGCTGTGGTGGGGCTCCCATGCATACTCCACAGGATTGTAGATGATGCCCACAGGCTCTGAGAACTGCAGCTGGTTCAGTTCAGCATTGAGCCGCAGCTCCTCCTCCAGGAAGTCCTCAGCCACGCTTCGAGCGCAAGGCTGGGGCTCCATCAGGGCACTGGCAGGCTCATGGAGGGGCCCCAGTGGATAAGCCTGGGGCACAGCCACGTCGCTGCCACCTGGAAAAGAGAAGGACAGAGGCCCCATCAGCCTTCAGCCGTAGAGTGAGAGGGATCCAGGCTGGCCATGGCTAGCCTTTCCAGGGCTCAGAAGAGACCATCAGCCATCCCCTGCCCTCTAGGTTTGACTGAGCTCATCTCAGTTCTTGGTGGTGAAGGGCCCTTCCACTGCCCGCTTCAAGTATCCCTCCTCTTCCTATGTCACCTGGTGAGAATAACCCTTCATCTCCCACTCCAAACCTCCTTTCCATCAGGCTTAAGCCTTGGGTCACTAGTTCCTAGGCCATGCCAAGCACACGGGAGGTTTTCAACATATATTTACTGGTGGCAAGCTTTCAGCACCTCTAATGTCATCCTTAATAAAACAAGCTCAGCCAGGACGGGCTGTGTCCTGGAAACCGATGTGCTGAAGAATGAGATGCAGGTGCACAGCCACGGCCCAGAGACTAATTACAGAAGGCTAGTTACAATTGCTTCCAGGTGGTGAGCAATTGCTCTGTGCCAGGTACACCTCATTGATCCTCGTAACAACCCCATGGGGTGAGTGTTATTGCTCCCATGTTATAGGTGAGAAGACTGAGGCTTAGTAAGATCAAGCAACTTGCCCAGGGTCACGCAGTTAGCAAGTAATGAAGCTGGGATTTGAACCCAAACTATGTGACTCAAGGCTATGCTCTCAATCACCCAACTCATCTTGCCTGAAACGGTTCAGTCAGCCACCCTGCTAATCCAACAACCCCCCCAAGCCCAGGCCAGCTTCTTGCCCACATTCAAGAATTCTCAGTGGTCAGCAGGATGATTACTGGACTCAGAATAGACCCTTACACGCTATGTAACCATGGCCAGAGCCTCAGGTTTTCTCATCCAAATACTAGGAAAAAAAATATCCACTCAATAATAGCAATATAAAGGATGGAATGAGACGTCGCAGGTAAGTGGGGGTTGGGAGGCAAGGAGGAAGTGGAAAAGTAGAAGAGAAAGAGGGAAGAAGCTGGGAGGAGGCGGAGGGAGCACTCCAGCAGGTTCTGTAGCCTACAAAGACCATTCCTTCTAATCTTCCTTCTCACAATTCCCATGCAAACCCAGTGTTCCAGCCTGACCATTCCACTCACTCTTTCAAAAATGCCTTTCCTACCCCAACTCCCAAAACTTTGCACATGCCATTTCTTCAAACCCAACCAAATACACTCCTTAAGTCAACCAGGACTGTGACTCCTCTGCCTCTCCACACCCAAATCATACCCATCCTTCAAGATGCAGCTCCAACGAGCCCACTGGTAAAGCCTGACCTCCTTAGGACACTGTAGCCATGCAGTAACTTCCCAGCCCCACCCCACACAGGAGTAGGTCTGGTGGAGACCTGGGAATCTGTATTTTAAACAAGATTCCTCAGGTGATTCCAATGGTTGATGAAGGCTCAAACTGCTGCATGTCACCATGGTTAGTGGCTTCTTCCCCAATTCACACCTTGCCTCCCTACCTAGACTTGAGCAGATCAGAAGCCAGGTCCTGTTCAACTTCCCTCTGTATCTTCAAGGTCCTAGCTTTTATTAGGTAGTCAAACACCCACTCGACTGTCCATCCTACCTTTTTCACTCCTCTTTAAAATGACCTTCTACCAAGGAGTCTTTCCCGATGGACTCTTCTCCATTTCTACAGCCAGAGTTTACTCAAGGCTCAGCTGCCCACTCTGCACTCCAATTGTTTCTGAGGGTTTGCGAGGCTCTGGGTGTGTTTCCATCATGTCTGGGCCTCCCATGGGGCAGGGACCAGGGTTCTTCTCCCTCACGGGACCTCAGGGTTGACAGAACAGCTTGATCCATCAACCTGTTCTCGGACCCTAGCCTGGGGCAAGTAGGAGAGAAAAAAAGTCAGGGCCAAACTCAGGAAACCCTTCTCCAGACTGATCTCAGAAGTCTTTTACTGCTTTGTCCAGATGGCTAACCAGGGCCAACTGGGCTGAAACAAAAGCCAAGAAGGGAGCTGTGGAGAACTCAAATTATCTCCGGGGCCCTTGCTTTGCACGTCCCCATGCAGTGCCAATGTTAGTGGACTGGCTGCTCCAGCTCTGGGATCTCTCTCAAGTCTTAGGCTGAGCCTACCTTTGATCTTTAGAGACCTGTGCTGAAGACAGCAAGGCTGCAGGGTACACAAAAAGAATGACAAGGCTTTATTCGCAGCGTTCCAGTTTCAAACCTAATCTGATAGCAAGAGACACAGTCTGGGTGTCAACTAAATCCACTTCTAATCCTGGTTTTATCTCTAAGTTTCTCTTAAGCAAATCATTTAACTCTCCTCTCTATGAAATGAAAACCTTTTTTTCCATCCAACCTACCATCAACTGTTAACTCATTTATTTTTTTCAGTATTTATGAGTCTCTTCCATGATAGGCACTGTGGTCGTCTCTGGATGAGGAAGAAATCCAAAATGAATAAAATGCAGGCCTGGCTCATAAACTACTGAGAGAGCACAGATAAACAACTATAATACACTGTGGTTTGAGCTTTAACGTCCTAAACAATACACTTTGAGAACCCAAAAGAGGAACTTGAAAGTCCTATCTAAAGCCACCAAGAACCAAAGACTTAAAAAACGTAGATACAGGGGTGCCTGGGTGGCTCAGTCGGTTAAGCGTCTGCCTTCGGCTCAGGTAATGATCCTGGGGTCCTGGGATCGGGCCCCGCATCGGGCTCCCTGCTCAGTGGGGAGTCTGCTTCTCTCCCCCTCTGCCCCTCCCCCTGCTTGTGCTCTCTCTTAAATTTTTAAAAAAAGAAAGAAACGTAGATACATTATAAATTACAGTGTCATACTAAGTGCAAAGGAAGCGGAGGGTGATCCAGCAGTAAGTCTGGCTATCTAGGTTCTCTGACACTAAATCCTGGAAGTGAAGAAGGAATCAAAGACACTATCCATTCCCCTATCCCTTGGAGGCACTCCAGGAATCGACAGGAACAATCAGCAAATCCTTAAACTAACAGTAGTAGTGGTACAACATGGACTCAAAAGCACCACTTATCCCTTCTCCTGCTTCTGAGAGTGCCGCCCGCTAAGAGTCCGTAAGAAATCTCCGTGTCCGCCCTCGGGCTCCGCCCAACGGGAAAACCACGTCCCCGCATGCTCCCCGGGCCGGTTCCGTGGGCTCGACTCTTCCTCTGCCGGCGCAAGCCCCAGACACAGCAAGGGTCCCCAAAGCATAAACATTCCTACTCCCCGCCCCACAACCCTGAGAGCCCCAACCCTGCCCCTCCAGACCCCAGGTTCCCAGGCTCCTACTTCTTCACCTGGTTCAGCTCTCCATCCGGTTTCCGGTTCCCTTCCCCGCCCCCGAGCGCGGAGGACAGTGGGAGTCGTAGTCTACTTTATTTAGGGAAAGAGATTGGCGTAGCCGCGGCAACTTCCGCCGGAAATACTCAAATCCCCGGAAGGCGTGTTAAATTAACCCTAAGTGACTCTGGGGATTGTAGTTTAACCCTTACATCTGGGCGAAAAGCAAGAAAGCTTTAAGAGACCAGGCTTAGTAAGGACCACGGAAGTCCTGGCGTCTAGCTCTAAAGGGCAACATCCTTCCAAAAATTCATCGACAAGGCTTTTCCGAACAGGATTGCGAATCAAGGCACTTCAACCATCCCCAATCTCGAAACTCACCTGAGAGTATTAACAGTGGCTAAAAGACCATTTCTAGTCCTCCTGCTGCCCCAAGGATAAGAGACCCCTCCTTTGCAGCCCTCCAAGGACTGTATCTAGAACATCCACAGAGGCACTTCTAGAACCTCCTAACAACTCTTTAGTAATGGCTTTGAGACTCTTCCATCTCCCATTACTGCCCACACCTTTGTCTCCATGGCTTTCACATTTGACTTCTCTCCCTCCTCTGCCATGCAGTCCACCCAGTCCTATAATCTCCCACCCTTCCCAATCCTTCCCCTCAAATACTTCCCTGAACATTCCTAATCCCATGGCTGCACCTAATGGTCCATTCCCTCCCAACTCCCCAACCCAAAACAATGTTCAGAGCTGTCCCACTCCTATTTTTGTTTTTGTTTTTTTTTTTAAGATTTTATTTATTTATTTGACAGAGAGAGAGCACAAGCAGGGGGAGCAGCAGAGGGAGAGGGAGAAGCAGGCTCCACGCTGAGCAGGGAGCCGGATGCAGGGCTCCATCCCACAACCTGAGCCAAAGGCAGATGCCCAACAACTGAGCCACCCAGACACCCCCTCATTTTGTTCTTGTCCTCCATCTCGGTATATTTCTGTGTCCTAACTGTAAGGTTAGTTTATATTTATTTATAAACTGGAAACTCCATAAGGCTAATTGCCTTCTGGATTCCTCCCACCTCCTGCACACCTCAGCACAGCCACGCCTGAGATCAGGAAGAAGCAAGGTCTCCCTACAGGTGGTAAAGAAGGAGACCAGCAAACCCTAGAACAGGAAAAAGTGAGAGAACAAGGATGCTACCCCCTTCCCAACCTTCCCCTGCTCTCCTACCAACAGACAAAAGCAGCATGAGCCTTAGGGAAATGTGAGCAGCAACTCTCTGACACCAAAGGTGAGAAACCACCCCCACCTTGCCAGACTTTGGAAACAGAGTTAATCATCCACCTCACGAAGTCTGTTACTTCCTGAGCTTGTGTTTGTGCCAGATTCTTTCCCTCTTTGTGTCTTTGCCTCTCCCTGCCCACGTAAATGTATCTCTATCCTTACTCTCTTATTTTGGGGGGTTTTGTTTTGTTTTTTAAGTAGGCTCCATGCCCAGTGTGAGCCCAACACGGGCCTTGAACTCACGACCCTGAAATCAAGGCCTGAGCTGAGATCAAGAGTCTGAGGCTTAACTGACTGAGCCACCCAGATGCCCCCATCCCGACTCTCTTGTATAGCTTTTTCTCTGTTTCTGTGTATCTGTCTCCCTCTGTGTACATCTATCCCCATGCCTCTGCTTCTTTCTCTGGAATGTCTGAAATAAGACTATCCCAGCCTTCTAGAACTGACTGCCCCCTCACGCTCCTCTGTCTTCATAGATCTATGCATTTGTATGTTGCCAAACAAAAATTTGGCAGCGGGGGGCGGGGGGGGGACACACTGTTGTCATCTTATTACTTAAAAATTCTAGGAGCCTCACCATCCCTTGGACAACCCTCCTGCCCATCCTACCCCGCTGCCACTTGCTTGCCCATCACTTCCAGTTTATCATCATGGCAGCCCCTCACTTTCCAAGTCTGCTTCTGGTAAGAAAGTAATGAGTGAAATGAGTGACAGGCAAGCAGAGATCCACAGGACCCTAACTCCCAATGTCAACTTCCAGGAAGAACTGTTTCTGTCCCTGTAAGCCCATTTGTCCCAGGAGCCCAGAGATAGGAGGTCCCAACACAGGGAGAAACTGAGTCTTGGGCAACCCCACAGTGAGTCCCTATAGCTGACCTCAGTGGGGTCTGGGAGCCTTCTCTGTCTAGGCCATGCTACTCCTCCCCACCTGGTGGGTCCTTCTCAGGGAAGATGGAAGTGAGAAATCCTGAAGTGGGGGTTGTTAGAAACAGAGACCCATAGATTTTAAAGAGGTAGAGCCTGAAAGATGAAACTTGGGCTAGGTTGGGGCCCTCCCAACCTGTCTTGCCAGTGTCCCAGCCTCCTGGCCCTCTGGGAAGGCTCGAAAGGCCGGCTGACTGTCATTTATGGATAGAACTTATAGGGTAGGAGTAGAATCAGACCTGTGGCCTGAACAGAGCCTAGAGAGTTGGGTCACTCCAAGCCTAGGTCAGGGCCCTCCGCTGCCCACCAGGCTGTTCCCGGGGCCCGAGCCCAGGCAGGAAGGGGTTAACCTGAGGGTTTGTTTTCCTTTGGTTTCAGTGAGCTGCCGAGGCTGTGTTGGGCCAGGAGCGCCATCTATCGGCCTCTGGTGATCCTAGCTCTGACTCCCAGCTCACCGGCTCTCAGGCAGATCTTTTAGCCCTTCCCCTGCCTCCATGCTCCCAGGGTAGAGAGGGGAGTTGTCTAGCTGCAGTAGATATTGGGCATTGGAAAAGGTGAGAGCCATGTTTCCCTCTCCCCAAGTACCAGACGTGACCCTTGGTAGCTCCTGCCACTTCTGCCCTAGGGAACCCCAAAGGGCTTCTGGTGTTTGCCTTTCAGGGTAGCCATATCCCCCAGCTCCACCACACTGGGTACTTTCTCTCTCTCAGCCCAGTAAACATTAAAAGAGCACTGGAGAGGAGAGGTGGTGTAGCGGAGGCCTTTAGAGTGTGGTCTTGGGACTCGGACCGCCTGGATTTGAATCCAAGTTTTGCCACTTACTAGCAGTGACCTTGGGCACGTTACTTAACTTCTCTGTGCCTCAGTTAGCTCAATTGTAAAATGGGATAATCACTGTAAACCATCTCTTCTTTTGTGATAATTAAATGACTTAGTTAATAGGTGCTCAGTACAGTGTCTTGCACAGAACAGTGCTCCATAAAGGTTAGTTATTGTTATTATGAGCATGTGTCAGGGTCTCAGGCAGACGCTAGTCTGAGAACCCAAGATCCAGACCACAGAGCCATATCAGACACACAAACACAGAGGACAAGACTGGGCAACACATCCCTGGAGATTTCCACAAAGACAGTGACCCTTATGCGCAGGTCTAGGGGCCCGAAGTTTAGGATTGCAAGGGAAGTTTCAGGTCTCCAAGATCAGCAGGAAATTGGATGAGAGGGTCAGAGAAAGAAAGAACTTGAGGTAAAGATGTAGGATGGAAAAGCACAAGAAAGAGGTATTAACAGGCCCTTAAAAGGACCCTGATTTAGGGAAGTGGAGAGAGGTCCCTGATATGTGGGGCGAGCAAGGGCCACTGTATCCCATAACATGTCCTCCTTGGTACAGGCACAAAAATCTCAAGGTTTGATCAGGCTTCCCAGTCCTCCAAAGAATCGAAGCCCAATCCCAGCTCTGTGAGGGCCTTAACCCTCAATGTTTTTCCCCAGCCCGGTGGGGAGGTGACTCACAGAGGGAGAAAGCTATCTGCAGGTCCCACACGTCTGGCTCCCACCTCCCTCCCAGAACTGGAGAACCAAGGAAGCTGTGGGTACATCCATCAGTGTCTTAACAGGTTCAGCCATGTCCCTGTCCCTGTGTCTTCTGTACCTCTGCCTTCTTCTACCTCACTGGCAAATAGGTACAGAGGATACTTCTCCAAGAGGCAAGTTGAGGGGCAGCGTGACAGCCTCTCAGATAAGACAGAAAGGCAGAAACAGTGGGGTCTCTGTTCAGCCTCACCACTTCCCACCGCCCCCATCTCAGCCCCAAGGCAGCACAGACCAGCTTTATGGATTGATGGCCACTTAACTGAAGACGGGTGACCGCTTCCACATCTCTCCAACTCAGGTGTTCTCCCTGTCCTGGAGCCTGGACTCCTGGGTCCCCAGGAGAGGGGCAGGACAGGCTGGATGGTCGGATTTGCATCGCTTACTTGGGAAGCAATTATCGGCGGAGCTGTCAGCGCTGCTCGGCTCTCTCTTCACTAATCGGATTTCACCAGAGCCCCGGGCTGGGGGGCGCTGAGTAATTTGGCTTGATGCAGTGGTGGGAGATGTCGGGGCCAGGAGGCTGGACAATCCGTCTGAGTGGTGTTCGAGTTGTCCAGAGCAATTATCCTGAGGAGACCACACAGACATCAGGCAGACAGCCAGCCAAGGGGACTCGACTGATCCCCAAGTCCTGCAGCAGGACTTGTGGCCGAGTGGGAGGAGCCTCTCCCACAGGTGGAGCCAAATTAAACAACTGAGAAGAGGAGTCAAGAGGAATCTGGGAGAAGGGCCACATAGCCCAGTGGGAAGGGGACCCAAGATACCAGCTTCCAGCCTACCCACCATCCAGGCCTTGCCCTGCCCTGCACCCCCAGCGCACCAACAACAGAGCAGGGACCTGACCAAGGATGAGTCTTCCGTCCTCGCTTCTCACGCTGCAGTGCTCCCAGACCACGCTTTCCCTGCCCTTGTCTCTGGCTCTGTCACTTGCCTTCTCTTGTCCCCACAGCCCTTTTGAGTCTGTCCCCTCCTTCCACCCATGCTGCCCAGCTCCCTCTCCCCCCAGGTTCGCACTGGATGGCTGACCGCTCTCTCTGCCTCTGTCTTCCATTTCACACCTTTCAGAGTAGTGATAAGGATGACGACAACAATGAACCTTGACTGAGTTCTCCTCCTCCACCAGACACCACTGAAGTATTTTCTGTGGGCTCTCCCATTTGCTCCTCGGAGTAGCACTGTGAGGGCCAGACTCCATGTCCCCATGTACTGATGAGGACACAGCTGCTGACTGA